TTGGGCCCAAAGGGCCTGTTGGAAACTCGCAGAAAGTTTAAAGTTTATTGGAAACAAATTCTACCTCTAATCTCGGCCTTGTATTCGCCTGCAGGGGGTACTGAGCGCAGCCCAGATCCGGGAGGGAGGGGGCAGCAGGAGGCCTGTGCCAGGCTGTGCCAGGCTGTTGCCAGGCTAGACCTCTAGCGCGGGCTCCCCGTGGCCATCATTCCAGAGTAACAGGCCACCGAGGACCGAGGAAATGCCAAACAGCTTTCCCTTGTCCCAGGCTCCTACTGAGGGGTCCTGGACTAGTGTCGGGGAACCTGCACTGCCTGTCACTACACAGCAGAAGCATGTTCGTGTAGTCCCAGAAACGCTAGTGTGTCTCCTCTCTCTGCCTCCTCGAATTTGGGTCCTCTCCTCCTGCCCCCAATCCGCATATACCTTGCAAGTTAGGTTATTTAATCAACAGAACTGTTTTGCTTAGCCAATCAAAAACAGGAACCTGTGTAACTAAAAGGCTCACCTCAGTGCTTTATAAATTTTTAGGGAAGAGCCAAGTGCTGGTGGCTCACGCCTGTAATCCTAGCTACTCAGGAGGTTGAGATCTGAGGATCTAGGTTCAAAGCCAGTCCAGGCAAGAAAGCCTGTGAGACTCTTATCTCCAATAAGCCACCAGAAAACCGGAAGTGAAGTTGTGGCTCAAGTGGTAGAGCGCTAACCTTGAGCTAAAGGGCTTAGAGACAGCGCCTAGGTCCACAGTTCAAGCCTCATGACCGACCAAAAAAAACCAAACCAAAACAAAACATTTTAGAGAATAAAAAAATATATGGATTAGCTATTGTAAGACTTCCTCTGAAATTTCTTTCAGCCCAGCAGAATGTCTTAAACTATTTAACTAAAAAGCTGTTCAAAGAAAAAGGCATTCTTGATTTTTAGCACTGAAAACCTAAGAATGTCAGTTAGAGCTGAGCTTAGGTGCCCCAGACCTGTAATTGTAGCTACTCAGGAGGCTGAGATCTGAGGGTCATGGTTTGAAGCCAGCCTGGAAAGACATAGCCAAGAAATTCTTATCCTCAATTAATCAGCAAAAAAAAAAGCCAGAAGTGGAAGTGTGGCTCAAGTAGTGGAGCACCAACCTTGAGAGAAAAATCTAAGAGCATTAAGTCCCAATGCCTGCATACACACACACACACACACACACACAAGAATGTCAGTTGGGTATTATCTGTCAATGGCAGAAAGGCCTCATAGCTACATAGAGATGCTTCTTGACTCAAAATGGGGTTAGGTATCCAATAAATTTCTTGTAACATGATAAGGACCATAAACTGAAATAGCACTTAATATATCTGACTAGACATCACACATAGCCTGGCTTATCCTAAACATACACAGAACACTTGCAAAAGCCAATATAGTTAAGCATCTTCAGAGACTATCATACCATTCTACATCAAAATTCAGAGTAGGATTCCTAATGTATGTGATGCTGGAGAACTGGGGGGCAAGTGGCTTGCAAGCCACTTGCTCTGGGGAGCACTAAGTGGAAGATGCTTTGCAAAAGTAGGTGGGTGATGTGGCAAGGTTATCCCAGTAAGGAATGAAGGAAGCAGAAAGGAACTGGGGAAGACCTCTATGCTGAGTTCTTTGAAGCATCTGCATCTCATTGGATCTTAAAGGGTCAGTGAGAATCCATTGTTAATTGGATTTGTGACATAATAACCTATGGAGTTATATTTCCTCATATTTATTTAAAAAATTAAAAAGACCTTAAGGCAGGTAGTGATATTGATGCTGTCTAGGGGAACAGATTCATTTCTGACTTTTAAAGGATTAAAAGGCAGGAAAGTGTTTAAGGCACTAAATTTACTTGTAAGTGAAAGGAAAGCCATGAAAGAAAACAACGTTTCTCCATGACTCTATGTGGAGAAGGGTCTCAGTGAGGAGTCCAACAGTGTCCTCTCAGGAGGGCAGTAATAGGGATCCCCTCCCATACTTCCTCCCCTGAGCTTTGTGGGGATTACTTGTTGGCTTGTGCATGCTCTGCCCTAGCTCTTTTCATTGGTTGGGCAGCCACCTGAGGAATTATGGGAAGAAGGATTTGAGCAGGAGACCAAGGTATTATGGCAACATCAAGCACCATGATGAGCCACATGTTATAATGTCCAACTCTTTCTATCCCTATTTGCCTAAATCCTATGATCTATTCCCATTATTTCACAAAAGAGACATTAACATCATAAATGGAGGAAAGATAACTATAAGAATTTAAAAGTTGCAATGCAAAGAATCCTACATTGCTGTTTCTCATTTTCTGTGCACTGATGAAACATCTCTTACCAACTCATCTCTGAAAACCAAGGATCCTTTGCCTAGAAGACTTTGAAAGGGGAAGCTGCAATACTTGCAGATGGTGTTAATTTCCTGGAAGAAGTGGTTTCAGGGCTTTATGGGAACCTGAGGAATCCAAATGCTAAAGACTTTCAGGGTCTTGCCTCAGTTTCCAGGATTAATAGCTATGTGGTAAGTGCTAGCAGCCAGAAACTGTATCATTATTTTAAAAAGAAGACAGACAGACCACGGCAAATAGAATCATGGAAATTTGAAGCTGGAAGGTTTTTAGCAATGATCTCATCGCTGTGGTTTTGAAAGTAGTACTCCACAGAGCCACTGTGGTACTGCTTGAACCAACAAATCTCTATTTTAATTGTTTTAATAATTGAGCTTGTGATTAAGATAGAGGTTCATTTACTTAATAAAAAGTTTCAACACTGCCAATTCAATCCATCCCTGATTTAAATGGAAAATGGAGGCTGAAAGAAGCAAGATTTTCCTGAGACCACCTAGTTAGTTGGCAGAACATTGTGACAAAGCACCAACAAGGGGAGGGGGAAACAGGAAGGATTTTACAGTAGAACCTTCAGTGTCTGCTAGAATCTGGATCTTAAATGTGCCCAAAGGTCTATGTAGTAAAGACTTGTTCCCCAGGGTAATGCTATTGGGAGGTGGGAGAGACTTTAGGAAGAGCCTAGTGGGAAGTCTTTATGCCGTTGGGCGTGTGTCCTTGAGAGGGATAATGAGATCCTACCCTCTCTTTTTCTTTTTACTTCTTGGCCAAGGGGTGATTTTGTTTCATCACAGAGCACTGGCTATGATGCATTGTGGCATCACAGTCCTAAAAGCAATGGAGGCTGACTGATCATACACTGGAACCTCTGAAACAGTGAACTCAAACAACCCTATTCTCTTGATAAACTGAACACCTTAGGTATTTGTGAGCATATGGAAAACAAATATGGACATTTGGTACATGACTATACCTGACAATGTGGAAATGCCTTCAAAATTCACTTATGGAAGTAGGTTTGAAGTAGGTTAGATAAAGCCTAGAATCTGTAAGAGGAATTTAATATGGTGGGGGGCTCAGAAGGCGAGAAGAAAGACAGGAATGTGGATACAGATGTGTTGAGGTTTCAAATGAAAATGAAGATTACTGGACACTAGACTAAAGGCCATTCTTTTTCTTGGGGGGGGGGTCTGGTTGTGGGGCCTGAACTCGGCCTGGGCACTGTCCCTCAACTCTTCAGCTCAAGGCCAGTGCTCTACCCCTTGAGCCACAGCACCACTTCCGGCTTTTTTCTTTTTTGCTTATGTGGTGCTGAGGAATCGAACCCAGGGCCTCATGCATGCAAGGCAAGCGCTCTACCACTGAGCCACCTTCCCAGCCCCTAAAGGCCATTCTTGTTTAAAAAAATTGGCTGCAGTTTGTCCTTGATCTGGTAATTTATAGAAAAATGAGCTTAAAGGTCTAATTTATCTGCTGCTGGCAATTTCAAGGCATCACTATGTTCAGGCTGTGGCAGGGGTATCAGTGGATGCTCTGAGCCCAATTTACTATGAGAACAAAGAAGGGCAAAGAAGAAAGAGTTGAAAAATTGGAAGCTAGATAAGAAAGACCCTTCTTTATAAGTGCACACACAAGGAGGGTGCAGAGACCAGTAAACACCTGATCTGCATTTTTGAATGCCATTGACAAAAGTCCACTTAAGAGCATTTCTTCATATTTGAAAAGCAGAGCTAATATTTGTGTAACTGGAACTTTGTAATCATAAGATTGTACTCATGTAAAAAAATTAAAGGTAGTTTATTTTGTGAAAAATGTATTTTATTAAAACATCTGAACTATACTTGTCTAGTATGTAAGTTGAGATGAGGTAATATCTACTTACTCTCGGAGCTCCTCCAACAGCTAACCACAGTAAACTGACAGCATCTTCATGTGTAGTCTACCACCACACAGTCTGTACAGCACATTCATTTTGTAGAAAGCTCCCTACTGGAAAATACAGCATCTGAGAAGTCTGGACATAGTTCAGATGCAAGTAGAGAGAAGATCACTAACTCTAAATAACCTGCAGTTGTGTTCTGTAAACTAGTTCTTAATTATTACTCACCCAAGAAGTCAATTTAGTGGGTTATGAAAGAATTAGCACAAACATATGCTAGAAGAGAAAGATATCAAGCATGCTGCATGCCTCACAAACTGAGAGAATATTTTAAAATATATTAAGCCAATAATGATCACATTCCATTTCTGATATAAATTACATAAATTAACTTCAGCAAAATAGTTTTAGTTAAAAGTGTCTATTCATTTCTTTTTCCTAAATAAACACTACACAAAGTTTTATTTACAATAATTAAATCACAATAGTTGTATAAAAAGTTCAGGTGCCAAGGCGCCAGTGGCTGAGATCTGATGATCATGGTTCAAAACCAGCCCAGGTGGAAAAGTTCCCATGAGACTCATCTCCAATTAACCATTCAAAAACCGGGTGGAGCTGTGGCTCAAAGTGGTAGAGCGCTAGCTTTGAGCGAAAGAGATCAGGGACAGTGCCCATGCCCTGAGTTCAAGCCCCATGACAAAAAAAAAAAAAAAATAGTACAGCTGTTGGTAACGTTATCTTTGATTTTGAGCTGTTAGAAGAATTTTAAATTTAACACAAAACCATATATTCACAATACCACAATAACTCAGTATTATTACTATTTCCTAAAATAATTTAATAGTCATACAACAAATCAGAGGTTTTGAAAAACAATGAGTGGCTTTCCAAAGAAAAACCTATCAGTGTGTAAGTGATTTGGGAGCATGAAGTGACTTATAACTAATGGAATTTGAGAAGAGTGAATGAAAGCTCTTTTAAAGTGCAAGGATATGCATAGTGATGTGGTCCAAATCCAGCAGCTTCACATTAAGAAATGGATCCAATTCTAGGTCACATTAGTGAGAAGTAGGGGCAATGCCATAGGTCTCAATAGCAAATTGAATAATTTTTTAAATTTCAGAAGATGTTATAATACAGTTTCATTTTATTTTTTATTTTATGCAGTGGGACCTTCCTCACTAGGCAAGTGTTTTCCCACTTAGACTATACCTCCAGATCTATGATTGTGGTTTATTAAAAAAATACCAAATTAAATATTGTAGAAAACAAATCCATGATAACATTTTAAATGCTAAGAACCATGTTCAAGTTACTACCACTAGTGTGTAACTATATCTATAAATTCACATACCATACACAGTACTGTAAACATTCATGGCAGCAGTTCCCATGTGAACTAATTCCCTGACATGTGTATACGTTATTCTCTCTGTGTATTGGTTATGTTTTCATCTGTATCACTTGAGTTAAATGTCTTCCACAAAAACTTCTCATTGGACTTCCAAAGGGAAGTTTCCAGCTCTGCTTTCCTTTTGGAGGACACAGCAAGGGGGGCTTTTTCACACAGAGTCTCTATCACTGCCAAGTCGGTGAGTTTGTTAAGATTGTCGTCATTCTGCTCATTCAAGATGTCCCAGAAGTCTTTTGGCTTCTGTTTTGCCTTTTCCATGGGCCTTGAAAGAACTTTTTTTGGCAGTTGTGTGGCACTGTTCTCATGACTTTTAAAGAGGTCATCAAGAATAGAGGTGTCACCAAGTAAGCCTTCCACAGAAGGGCTTTCTAACACTGGATTGTCTACATTTTTGTTTTCCAACTTGAAAAGGGGTCCATTTCTTGAAACACTCATTCTTGTGAGGTGCTGTTGGTTTTCCATGGTATTTTTTAACTTTCTCTCATGTGTCTCAGACTTCCTGTTCAGAGAGCAGGAGGCTACAGGGTCTTTGGGTATTTGGTTCTTTTTCCCACTCTTAATCTCTCCAGTGGAGCTCATGGGTAATTTCTTGGTTTCTTCATCAGTAGAAAGTATCTCTTCTTTATGAAAAATATCTTTATGAAACTTAATTGCTTCTCCTTTATGTATTTTTAGGTTATAAATTTGAGAAATCTTTTTGGTGGAATCATTAAATGTTGGACTTTTAGAATCTGGCAGCCTTTCTTTTACTGGAGATTTTCTTTCTTTGAATTTTTTCCTGACTCTCCCTCCTTCTTTGTGTGTAGATTCAATGGATATTGAAGCAGATTCCTCAAAAAGTTCTTCAACCTCTGGATACTGAGAAATATAAAAGTCTCTCAGCATTTTCTGTCTTTCTTCTGATGTAGCATTAGCTATACATTTAGCAAATTCCTTTGCTGAAGGTAAGTTATAATAAGAGGCCATTTCTTCAAATTGTTTTCTAAAGATTAAATGAATAAAACAAGTGGTTATTTCCAATACATTTTATTTTCAAAGAACTCATCAGTAATGGGAAATGCATAGGCAAAGGAATGTAACTTTAATCCTTTAGCATATGCCTTAATTCCATAGAGTCAATGTGTTTTATCTTAGGAGAATATGGCCTCTTTCCTTAAGCTATTGAAAAAAAAAACAATCTAAGCTCATTGAAATCACCAGCTTTCAAGGTTATTCTGATTTATACTATCAGGTATTTCTGGGGAAATATGGGATCTCAGCATGCTACTTCTCCAGTGAGCCAATTTATGACTGACAGGAGAATCATAATTCACACAATCTACATTTGAAAATCTTTATTGCATTCAAGCCCCATGAAAGAGTATTGCTAGAGTTTTATGAACAAAAGAGAAAATTCTGAAAAATTAAAAACAATTTTCCCTTCCTTTCCTCTTTTTGCTTTGTCCACAAATAATGCAGAAATTTACAAGGCTTGAGTTCTTCTGTTGACAACCCTAACTTCTCTCCCCCCCCCCAATTGTTCCAAATTCAGTACAGATAGTTACTTGGAAGTGAGCTTCTATTTGCCAGGTGTAATCCTAGCACTCAGGAGGACAAGCCTAGGCTCCACTGAGAGACCCTGTATCAAAAACAAACACCCAAACCAAAGACCAAAACCCAAACTCTAACCTCTTCTGCTAGTCCCCTCTTCCCTGCTGCCACAAGAGGACAGTGAGAAGGTAGGCCATTTGCAAGTTAGGAGAGAGAGGTTCCTCACCAAAGTCCAAACTGATTAACACTTCATCTTGAACTTCCTAGATTCTTAATCTGTGAGAAACAAATACCTGCAGTTTATGCTACTCAGTCAGTAGTTCTTTGTCATGACAGCTGGGCAGACTAAGAGGGTGTTTTTTTTCTAATGTTGAGGCTGGACTTCAAGGGAGCCCAATGTTTATAAAACTTCTTTGAACAAAACCACAATCATGTGACAGTGCATGATTAAGATTCCCAAAGTTTAAAAATTACATTTATTCTTCATATGTTCATCCCTTGAAATGTTCATTCATTCATCTAACAATATTTAGAGACACCTGTTAGGTGCTCAGTACGATATACCAGTGAAGAAGACCCTGTTTCCTAGCTTCATTGAGTTTGCTGTCTGGTTCAAGCAGCGGTGGACAGGACAAGTACATGAAAATCCAACTAGAAAATAATGACAGTGAATTGCATAGAGAAAGTAGTAAGCACAGAACCTAACTGATGGTTAAAGGAATAGGGTAGGGAGGGTTTTCCCAAGATCACATCAGTCAGGTAAAGACAGGGAGAGAGTTTCCTTACACACAGAGGGGCAGGAGAAACTGAGAAAGAGGGTGGCAATCATAAGGGGTCTGTATACCAAGTGAAAAAGGCTGAAATTTTATTGTGTGAACAGTGTTATAGTATAAGCTAAAATAATTAATTACTTTTAATGTAGTAAGAAGGCACTTTGATGTTACTATTTTGAATATTTTGTTTTTCTCTCTTCCGGTCAGATTATATAAAGTTTGTGTTTCCTTTGATTTTAATGGCAACCTACCATGCATGCTTACATCTGTCTCTTATACTTTCAGATAAGCATCAGGGCTTCAGAACTCACCACACTGTCTTGTTAAACCTTCCAAATCCAGACACTTTACTCTCCTGATTGACAGCCACTCTCAACTCCAACAGAATATTTAATAACACAAGTACAAGCTCCCCAATTTCTGTCCTGGAAACTGTCAATGTTCTTCTTGGAATGTAAGTATGTTCTTAAAAGGTCCCAGTTTTTAACTTCAAATGAAGTAATAAGTTATTATTTTGTTTATTAATCATCTCCAAATCCATTTTCATGGCCTTTCTAATAAATATTTGTGCTTGCAAAGATTTAGTAACTGGCAGGGTTATAAGCTGATGTCTTTTATTTATCCAAGATGGGGTGGTGTCATGGTAACTGCCAAAGTAACTTCATTTCTGCTGTGCTAAAACCATGACCTCATATGTGGCCCTGGGTCTGTCACCTCTGGGAAGAACTTAGCCTAAGAAGTCAATTAGTCCACAAGATTACTATGGAGAGAATGAGTTATACTTATCATTCATTTTACTTTTGCCCCTGTGTGTGTGTGTGTGTGTGTGTGTGTGTGTATGTGTGTGTGTGTGAACACAAATGCACGCACACACTCTTGTGCTGATCTCTGGGCTTGAACTCAAGGTGTGGGAGCTGTCCCTTAGCTTTTTTCAGGCTAGGGCTCTACCACTAGAGCCACAGCTCCACTTCTAGTTTTTATTTGGAGATAAAAATCTCAAGGACTTGGGCTGGGAAGGTGGCTCAGTGGTAGAGCGCTTGCCTTGCATGCCAGAGGCCCTGGGTTCGATTCCTCAGCACCACATAAGCAAAAAGAAAAAA